TTGGGCGCGAGGACGCACGCGTCGTTGCCGACGACGCCCCAGTGGTAGCGGCGCAGCATGTGGGCGATAGAGTACAAGTCTCCGTGCGCGCTCGCCTCGTCGAGGAGGGCGTCGAGCAGGGCCTCGAGCCGGCCGAAGGTCGCCTCGGGCCACTCGTTCGCGAGCTGCGCTACATGAGCGAGCCGCTGCGCATGGGTACGCATCTCTTGAAGCCAGGTACGCGTGCCCACCAAAGCCAGGGCAAGGCGGGCGAGCTGTCAGAATTGGTGGCGTACGAGCTGCAAAATTCTTTTTTCTTACTAGAGTTGAGGCCCTCGAGGGCCCCGCCCCCTTAAGGGGGCGGGATCGCTTCAAAGCAGGTGAGCTGGCGCGCGCCGAAGGTCACACACTACGCGTGACACGGCGGAGATAAAGAAACAGAGGCTTGCTAGGAAAGCTCCCACAGACGATACTCGAGAGCCGTTTTTTTTCCGGGGGTGGAGAGATGGAGCTGCGCTACACAATCAAGCCTCTTTCCTCCCAGACTCCCAGTCTCCTCCCGTCTACGTGCTGCAGCAATCGTCCTGTGGGTCCGGCCCTCCACCGAAATGCAAGTAGGTCTGCTCCATTGTCAGACCGGTTGGCCGGAGAAATCGAAAAGCTATGCCACGGTTTCAGCGCGATGTGGCAGCAATCAGCCTCCCACACGATCCATGTGCGAGGCACGGTCACGTTGGTGTCCAGTCCGAGCCTGACTGTTGTTCATCTTTCTACATACATACATATCTACTGCATCTTTAGCGCAAATTTAGCGCAACTTTAGCGCAACTTTAGAGAGAGATTTTTAGCAATACCAAACAACTCTAACACTCACACGTAATTTGGGGCCTGGAGCCCTGTTCACGCGCGCGCGAGACGTGCAGACAGGGTTGCCAGGTGAGAGCGAATGGCGCGGTTCACGCCTCGCACAACAGAGAGAGAGATGCGCTCTGCATGGTGGGACATAAAAGAGAGCGAGTACTTGGGCGAGTAGGCCGTGCGGTCGACGCTGCCGCGCGCGACTTTGCGCGCGAGGCGGCGCAGCTTGAGAACGGCGGTGGGCGAGAAGCCGCCGCCAAACGTCTCTCGTGGAGCAGCAGGTTGAAGTTGTTGCGCTTGACAAAGATCGCGTCGTGGTAGAAACCGCGATGCGCGCCTTGACGTAGCCGTGGCCGGTCTTGTGGGAGAAGGGTTGGCCGGGCTGCCCGCGCGCCTTGCAGCCCATGTTTAGGCGGCGGGCCTTCTCCTCGGTGTTGCCGAAGGCGTAGGAGTGGCCAACGGAGGCGGGCGTGCCGCCACTCGAGGCGTTGCCAATGCCCGGCGAGGAGGTCTTGAGGAGGGGCGTCCAGAGCTTGATTTCATTCACGTCATCGCACCCTCCTGGTCCCGCATGGGGTATTGGGGTTCTGCGAGGTCAGTCTTTTACCCCTCGTTGTACTGCCGGGTGAGCTCTGGTTTCTCCTTGTCGCCGTGCACGACCGGCGCGTTGGCCGGGGCGCGCATCGCGTCCGCCCAGGCGTTTGTGTTGTCTGTTTTTTGTTTTTGAGTCTGAGAGCTGGTCTGGGGCAAAATCTGAGGCAAAATTGAGGAAATCGGCAAACTACCCGGGTATTTTCCAGGTATGTACCATGAAAAAGTTAGTATACCCGCAAAATACCGGTATTTGCCG